CTTTGCAAACTTGTAGCAAACTAACCACGTGAGAATGTTCATTCCGCTCATTGGCCAGATGTGTCTGGGGCGGGAACTACAAAAGTAAATACAGGAAGAAGGTTCTGTATTCTGGACCTGTGCTCATCTATAGTACACAGTAGTAGTATCAGGGTGGGATCATGTTCACACCATAAACGAACCGCTCTGGAGACTGAGACTCTTTGGAGGAGGTGGTCTTGGTGCGGTTGTTTTGGTCTGCAACCGAGTGCGATTACCATGTTCAAACCTGCACAGACGAACTGATTTAAACTGACCAATCTCCTTTTTCAGGCTAATTAGGACATGAATGAAACAACATCGAAAGCAAAAAAGTCAACACAAACTAAACTTCTACTGCGTGCATGTGTGCTTTTGTCTCAACTAAAGATAGCTGTCACCTTGAAAAGTGGTAAAATCTAGTGGTCATTCTATTCATAACGGACATTGTGGTTTTAAGAGCAGCATGGTGATTAGTACTGTTACCTCACAGCCAAAAAGAGCTTGGGTTCAGATCTGGGCTGAGGCATTTTTGAATTGCATAAGCAGTCTGGACAGTTTCACATTACCAGGTAACATGATGAATGTAAGTACCCAGCAAAAATTTTGTTAAATGATTGCTGTTTGATCATATTTAAGAAACAGTTCTAAAAGTTGTGCTGTAATCTGGTTGTCTGCTCCAGCTGTTTTGTGGATGTCATGGTTGTTAAGAAGAATTTTGGTACATTATGATTTCTCTATGAAAATAAAACAGAAACTTAAGCACCATAAAATGTGATCGAAGTCATGGCTTTGATAGCTAACCTGCCAACACAACATGGACTCTAAAAGCTTGTGTTAGAAGGGTCTGACTGGACTGTCTCTGGTCTCTGAAAACTAAAGCCAGCATGTAAGTGGCTAAATCTTCACTTCCTCTGTGTGCTGCTCAAGACTGACTCCAACAGGTTACAAAGTCTAAAAGCTTACAGCAATGCAATAATGTAATGCAATACTGTACTAAATTCAGTAATTACACTAGCTGCAATTGTGTCATTACAAAAGGTCTTCATTTATCTGCGTGCCGCTTGGATAAAGTTTTTAAAGTTCATGTGTAGCAGGAGGAAAATAGCAGCGCAGTATACAGCGGACATTACTTTTATTTTTAGTTCCCAGAAGGGCAAGAGAGAGAAGGTAAAGTGCAAACTGCATCCAAGACAGAAACAAATGCATTATACTGCTTCACAAGCACCTGCAGAGACAACATGCTAATGCAAAGCTAGTGAAGAACCCAGGATGATGTTAAATCTGAATGTTTGCTGACCCCAGCCCAGTACCCAAAGCCTGATCTTCAACAGGTAATGAAAACAGTGATGGACAATCAGGTTTGAAGCCTTTGTTTCTACCATTTTATGTTTCTAATTTAAAATCACTGTGGCGATAGCTTTGAAGTCTCTTTGGCCTGGTTTTCAGCTTTATAGTTGTACCTAAAAACTAAGAGAAAATAATACGTATTTATTCTCATTAAGGTACAAATAGGGTAGAGCTGTGGAGACCTGGCTTGTCTGGTCTTGTTCTGTTAAAGCCAAATAAAGATCTGTTAGTCTGTCTAACTGACTGGCCTCCAAGTTGTCCGGCAAACCTCCACACCACATGCCCGCTGGACCTGCTAGCCGCTCCTTCCTCGCCAGACCACCTACAGCCTCATCTAGCATCGAACAGTCATTAAACTGAACCTCTTTACTGTATTTGTGTCTTTTGGAGCATTTATGTTGGATTTGTTTGGTTGCTCTGTCATCCAAGCAAATCCATGAAGCAAATCCATGAAGTGTATCCACCATTATGTTCATTTATTCAAATTAGCACTGATTAGCCTGTATGGGTGTCATTGCATTGTAGCTGTCAGTTCATGATTGCAGCTAACTGCGCTAACTAGCATTAGCTAATAAATTAGCACTCCATTCTTTCATCCATATCAGGTACAGTGCAACAACAGGCTGAAGAACAAAACCAGTAAGTCCATCTTTGATCATGACCTCAGTGTTTGAAAGTTTGGCTATGTATATTGGTTGTATCAACAGCAGAATATAAGGAAAGGTAAACGTTAAATACAGTTAATTCAGTGCAGGTGTGGAGGATGAGCACTTTTGACAGAGACCATTTCAAATCAGCTAATTTGTTTAAACAACTGAGGTGTAATGAATGACTGATTCAGTATTTTTATGGTTTTGGTGTGCAACAGTGAATGCATCCACTGCTGCACACTGATATCATAAACCAAACACACCCACAGTCACAACCCTTCCCATAGCGTTCCAACAAAGGGTCGTTTCTGTCTGAATCCACCTGCTAACAGCAGTATTTCAGGGATCTGGATCTCTCAAGTAGCTGTAATCTCACTGTGGACTGTATGTTTTAAATTGTCAGCTGGAAATTTAAATGCATTTTCAGCAAGAGGCACAATTTGCCTGAAATCCTGACTGCCTTTCTGTGGCACTCAAGTGCACTTACATGGAGACATAGTTAGACATGGTGGATGACAGGAAAGTGGCTACAATAGAGAATTAAATAAACATAGAATGTTTCCAGAAATGTCTGTAACAGGATCAAATATTTTAAATTTAAGTCTCCCGTTTTTTCAGAAATCTGTGTTTGATTATAACCAAGAATAACATATTTCACACCGCTCTTGTCCAGTAATTCTTGATATAAGGTTACAGGATTACAAGTGCAACATTAATTTAGTGTCAGCAGGAGGCCCCGGGGCAGACCCAGGACACGCTGGAGAGATTATATCTCTCGGCTGGCCTGGGAACGCCTTGGTATTCCCCCGGATAAGCTGGAGGAGGTGGCTGGGGAGAGGGAGGTCTGGGCCTCTTTGCTTAGGCTGCTGCCCCCGCGACCCGGCCTCGGATAAAGCGGATGAAGATGGATGGATGGAAGCGCAACATTAATTTAGTGTCAGCAGTAAGTCTGCTTACAGTATGTCCGTCTGCAGCCATATCATAAATCATCTGTAATGCAAACAGTGAACTGATTTTTTATGTCACAGCACTGTTTCTCATCTGCCTGGATTATATTGCTTCTCCGTTCTGCCTGTGTGACAATGAGGCGCTGTGCCTTGCTTATCAGCACTGAACCACCATGACAGACTGGAGATGGGCTGCCCCAAAATGGTGGCATTTGCTTCCCAAAAGCACAAAAGGAGAAGTCATTTACACAGCAGGCTGCGGTATTTTCTGCAGACGCCTTTTCTCGAAAAGATTTTCTTTCCCTTGCAGCAGAAAACAATAGCCCAAATTATATGAAACTGTGCTTATCTGTGGGATATGTGTATGTGTGTGTGTTTTGTTAAATGGTGAGGACTTGGAACCACTTTTGGACACCTCGGTGTGAAATAGGGCTTGACGACAGGTTGAAAAAGTCATCTTTTACCATCGAGGAATACAGCCACACCGCGTGTCTATAACAGGGTGCAGCTCAATAAATGAATGAGTGGCAAGCACATTTGTAAGCTTATTCCTAGTCTCCAGGGTCATTAATTACCTGAGGTGTATGGCTCCACTGCAGAATGCTGTTACAGCCATTCTGACATAATCCAGATTACATGTCAGTGGAGAGCGGAGATTACCGCACCATCACGAGTGATTTAGGAATTATCAGGCTGATGCAGGCCGAGCACTGCCTCTCCTCTTCTGAGGGGTTACTAGATGAAAATCCATGTGACTGTTTGAGAAAAGAATGAGAGCTTGACTTAAACCGAACTGAATAAATAAAAATAAAGGCAAAAAAATTTGATTTGTTTGCCTTTTCACTTTGTCGAAAGATCAGTCACTTGTTGAAATCCCTTCTTGTTGCATGATAATAGTTGGGAAATCTTAACTCTAATGTTTAGATTAGCATCTTTTTTTCTCATTGAGTTGGGGTGTGATTTAGTGCTTCATCACACACAGTCTTTTAATACTGCATATGGATATTCCAGTCATTAGTAACAGTTTGGTCACATTTGCTCCTAAAATTGTTAAGATGAGGCTCAAAAAAACTAAAGTAAAATCAGCTAATCACATTTCTTTGCTCACACTAACTGTCGCAGGCCTCGAGTAGTGTTACTATACTGTAAGTTTTCACACAAGCCACCTCCACAAATTGTACAGTTTCATAATAGTGCATCCTTGATCACCACAGAGATGCAATAGATGGACTAAAAGCACCTGCGTGAAACATCCTTGTGAGAAGAAGACACGTGAGAGAGGCTTTCACTGTTCCCCTTCTCCAGCACAAGTTTATTAAAGTGTTGGGAAAGCAGGCCTGGTGCTGGGGAGAGCCTCTGTGGCCTCCCTGCTTCCATTACATAATGTGGAAAGTGTCAGTTATATATGACAAACAACAAGTTAATGGTATCACTGTCTTGCTTTTGTAACAACTGTCTGAGAGGAGCTATAATCAGTGGATCATCTCTCCGGCCACCTGTTACCTCAGAGCCACAGGTATCTTGAGGTGAGGGAGTAGTAAGCATCACTCAGGCCCCCCTCCCCTGCAGTGGGAGTTGAGAGGCGCACATTAGAAGCACCTACACTCACCTGCTGTCTCTTTCAGTGCCCACACAGTCAAACACAGAGGTACAAACAAAACAAAACAACTGGAAGCATTCACACACACACACACACACACACACACACACACACACACACACACACACTGATGCATTAGTAGTATCAGTCAAACTTTGCACGGCAAATACAACTGCAATTGGACGAGACATCTAATCTACAACTGCACACTGACTGAAACGCACACTGATTACAAGTGGTTAATCTTTTTTTTAAGCTATAACACTCGGAGGTTATGTCAGAGTCGCTGTCCATGGTATCTGTCAACAAGGAAAGCACATTTACAAAAAAAGACACCGCAAACAAGGAAGGAGCACATGGGTCTGCACTAATCCCATCTAACAGTAAGGCTGAACTCATCCCTCCGTATCGTGCGAGTTGCGGCGGGTTACTCACTCTTGGTGATCTTCTGTAGCCCGAGCACATCCTCGGGCGTTATTACGGTGTGTTTGCGCAATTCTTCTTCGGTTGTAACCGGGATGCCCATGTCTGATGAGTTGCAGCCTTGCTGCACTTTCATGTCCGACAGGAGAGGGTTGTTCGGAGCGCGACCTGGCAGGAACTGAGGCTTTCTGATGTTCTCGGCGTCGTCGCCGCAGGAGCCGATTTACTTGCGCCTTTAGTTACGCGATGGCTAATACGCCGTACAGCAAATAGGCTCTGCTCTGTTACAAGAATAACTCATTCTCCGAGCCTCCTCCCCTTCTCGATCCGGTAAAAGATAAAAATCAGCTCTCGGCTCCCTCCCTCCTTCCCTCCTCCTCCAAGCCTCATCGGCTCTCTCGCAGCTATTTAATCCAAATCCTGCGGCTTTAAAGCGACCGGCGATGCGTGGCTGTCCGTCTGCGCGCCTCGTCATGCGCTGCCGGTGCGTGCGCGGTTGGCTTTTCGCTCAATAACAGTTTCGCACCTCCGAGATGAGCTCTGGCACCTCCCGCGTGGAAGTTAGTGGGGGTCAGGAATAACCGCTGGAAATCGTATTGTGGATGGTGCGTTTACTGCACCGCTGTGTGGAAAGAGACAGTGGTGCTAAAGTGCACGGCGGAGCTCGAATGTGCAAGCTACACAACGCAAGGCTGTCTGTTTTTGTTTTGTTTTTTAGGACAGGTATTTAGCCTCCGAAATATAATCGGTGCTGAGGCTTGGAACTGCACAGCTGAAGAGAGTCATCAAGATAGAAATGCAGAGCGACCGGCAAACCAAATAATGTCACGGTATAGTCACAGAACTATTTAAACCATATGGTCTAGATTGTGCTTTGACACTGTCTGCTTTGAAGATCACATCTGTCTGAAGCTTGTGTGCCAGCAGGTAGGGTCCAGTGAATGTGTTGAGAGTGAACCAGAAACAAGAAACTTGAGTTCCAGGCTGGAAAATCAAAAGAGCGAACTGAATGACAAAGCAAGGCACTTCAGACTGCTGTTTCATAGCCAGTCTGAGCAGCATCGAACATCAGCAACATCTGAAGAAAAGAAAAAAAAACAACAAGAGGGAAAAGAAAGTAGGCCCAGTGAGACTTGTTTTCAGGTACAGTTCTTTTATTTTTTCCATTGGAAAGTTGCTTTCCAGATGCCAGCATCCCTGAGAACATTTAAAATGCAAACCTTCTGGACAGCCCCATCAGTGAGGTGAAACAGGCCAGCCAAAAGATATTCACATCAGCAAACCCACAGCTCTGCACTGCTCTTTTTTCTTCTTCTTCCTTTTAAGTCTATTTTAATGATTAACCAGCATTGCCGTCCAGTCTCTGAGTCTGTTGCTTTGTGATGAGGATATGGTGCCTCCCTCTGCCTGGAGAAATAACTGCAGGCCATGTGTTGGGTTGAGAGCTGTCCATGGTAGTACTTTGTAAGCAGATATGATATGTGTACCTTTATTCTAGACTAGACTATGGATCCCAGGAGAAGGAGAGCTCCGTGATGAACAGGCTTAGTGACATCATTTCAGCTTGAAATACATCATCGAGTAAATAAAAATAAAATCAAAGAGTTGCAGGTATGATTGGAAAAATAGCATTGAAACAAACTAATAAACACAAACCATTAAATCCACTAATCCCCTTTAATCCCCCGTTCAGATAAATCATATAATCTTTCCATGAGGTCTGTAGACAGAGAGCTTTGCTATTGTTTTTTTTTAAACCTGTGTTACAGTTACTCTGAGAGTCTGTGACAATAAGAAATTTTCATCCCATTCAGAATCGTTCACCCCGCCACATACTTCCAAATCCTACCAGGAAACAATATTAAAATGCTGTTAGCTGGTGTGGCCATGTGGCTGCTGAAGGATCTCCAGGGGATGTTTTTAGCAGCATGACTTCACCCTTGCTATTCCCTCCTTTTTAGTCAACTGGACTCCTCTATGCGGTCATTTCGAAGCAGCCCCTGCGGTGCGTCTGCATGTCTCTCACGCGGCGGATGGACTGGATCTGGGGGTGGTGGGCTCCCCACTCATTCCAGTGCTTGAAAGGACCCATTTCAAGCATATATTGGTAGCCACGGTAGCCAGGGTACTGGTAACCCACCCAGCTATGTGAAGAAGACAGAAACAGAGGTTAACTACAATGCTTTAGCTTTCAGTTTTCAGCTACGTTGCTATGCAAATGACAAAGGTATTTTCTGTATAAGACAACACCTCCCAGTGCTTCGTATTTTACATCTGTTTTCATGGCCTTCAGTGAGGTCAAGTCTACCAGTTATGGCCCAATCCCCCTCCAGTCAGGGTGAACAGTACCCCTCGATCACCACAAAAAACACGCCCTAAACAGAGAGCTCAAACCAAGTGGGGAGTTGCCACTGAGCCTGAGTCGAATTAGCCAAAAAAGATAACTAGAAATGGCTTACGTTCCACCGGTGACCTGAATGCTGGCAACACGATCCTGGAAGCCGTAAGACCACAAACTTGGAATATCCTCGTCGCACACTTCCATCTTACGACCCTCAAAATTTGCACATTCATACAGGCAGATCTTGTGGTCCTGCGGGTCCTGTTGGAGAAATACATTGTTTGTCGCAGATTGTGTAAATGTTCATATTTCTATTCTAGATTAACAAACAAAACTAAACAAAACAAACACAAACAAAAAAAACATAACCAAAGCATTATTATGATTACTGAGGATAAATGATGTATGCATAAATACACAATGGTTGTGTAATATAAATGTTTTAGAAGATAAAATCAAATCCTTGAAAAACAACAGTGAATACTTTTTGTTGTTTGGGGGTTTTTTATAGTTGAAATTGAAACAGCTGCAAAAAAAGACATCTAATGAATCCTTTCATCCAAAAATGGAAGAAGACTATAAATACACCTATAACTACAACTGTGAACCCCTCCCCTCACACCAAAAAAAAAAAATTTCCTTTGAGCCAGCAAAAGACAAAAGAAAGAATAGATGGACACGAGCTGCAACGTGAGGCGGACACCAGAAACTAAACCAAAAATTGACAGGCTGAAAAATGTCCACCACAACTTACCATCCGGAGAGGTCTGATTGACATGATGCGGTCGCACCTGTAGCTGTTGGACCAGGTGTCCCAGCGGGGGTACTCTCCTTTCTCCAGTATGAACATCTCACCGGTCATGTTCTGCTGCTCATACCCGACCCAGCTGGAGAGGCGGACAAACAGATAAGGAAAAGGGGCAACCTAAAGTGTGCTGTCACTCACAGTGTGTCTAACACGGGGTCAGTGACTTACGGTCCGATCTCTACCCGGATGGAGCCGATTCTCTCCATGCCCTTCTCGCACAGGTTACGGGACTCTCCAAACAGGTCCATTCTACGTCCCTGGAAGTTCTCGTATTCATAGAGGTATATCTGGAAAGCAAAAACACACTGAAAGCATTAGTTTCTCAAGTACAGTACTTTAGATACATAATTACTTGTTTTCATGTTTTTTTTAGGGCTCTTCATGTTAAAAAGAAAACCGTAGTAGTACCTTGTGATTGCGCAGCCCAATGGCAGAGTGGCTGCCTATGCTGCCTTGAGCACCTGAGTGAGACATGATCAGCTCTAGAGGGAAGAAGCATGAAGTCAGTCAGCTGTTTTTAGAGATCCTGAAGAGGATAATTACTTCCACTCGACTGCTGGAACATGGCATAAACTCCAGCACGGCAATTAAATTAAAATAGTGGTCATTTAAAATCAAAGATTACTATTCTTTTCTTTTTCTAAAGATTCGCTGGATAGATTCTTGATGCTTATTCATTTAAAAGTAGGTTTTTCTCAGAGTTATCCAATGGCTGTTTTCAGATATAGCTTGTTTTACTTTTGCAGTCTATAAAACGAGTCAACACAAAGCAAACTGAAACACATAATTTGAAGTCAGTTTTTCTTCTGGCACATCCAGCAGTGACATCACAGTTGGGGTCAAGGTGAGAACTTCAGCCACACCAGTTCAACAACAAAAACAGGATTTAAGTAGAGTCAAGCTGCTCATTAAGGATAAAAAAAAAATCCGTTCTGAAAATGATTGAGCTCATTATAAAATAAAAAAAATAAACTATGGGTGTCTTTATATTCAAGCATTTTGGACACATCGTTATTATGTGAACATAAATCTAAGGCTGATCAGTTTTTAATGCTTAACTTAGTTATAATAACTCACTTTATCAGATTTTGACCGTAAAGTTGTATTTACTGTGTAAATATTCCAGGACTGCAAGAACATTCAATGATCATCCATAAATCTGTCAATAGTGGCCTGAGCGGCTTTTTAAGGACAAAAGCATTGGGCGCAGTCTCTTATCTTTCTCATTCATGTTAACTTCAGGGTGACAAATGAACACGTAAACTGCATTCTGTGTCAATATTCCTCCTGTTCAGGCCAGAGTTAAGGTTTAAGAGAAGAGGCAGTCTCTAGTTGGTTCTTTGAGTCCAAGGTGTCAGTAGACAGGAAAACAAACACAACATTTCCAAATAACGAGTCTAGCAGTTCTTTAAAAGTTAGAAAGAGGAAAAACTTACAGTTACAATTGAAGGAATGGCCGACCTTTAGAGAAAGTGATGGACGCCGACCTTATGAGAGGGGATATATATATACATTCACATCCAAGCCAAGTCTACAGAGGCAGGATTCCGGCTTCTCATTGGCTGTGAGCTGGCTCACAATGTGGGGTCAAAGGGCACGCTGCTAATCCGTGGACAAGTCATGATGACTCAGCTGCTCCTTTTGTTGTCCTGGACCATTGTGGGGGACCAGGGACAGTCACTGCCATCAGCAGAAAGTCTGCACACACACACACACACACACACACACACACACACACACGCGCACACTTAGGTGTTTGTCCTGTGTGTGTGAAGCTGTCACTTCTCTTCATGACTTTCTTTTAAAAAGCTTTTTCTTTTCTTCATGTTTTTTCTTTTCTGTCTTTCATTTCATTTTCACTTCTTGCTCTGTGATATATATTTTTTGGCTTTCACTTTCATTTTTTCTCTTTTTTTTGATGCTTCGTGCATGCAGTCTAAGCTTTTGAGCCCCACATCTCTAATATGCTGACTGCAGTAGCTTTTGTATAGGCAGGCAAACGGACACTCTTTGGAACATTTGGGTGGTCGACAGGCTATAGTCATGCAGATAGACATGCATCCATGATTGTATCACACAGACGCTTTATTTTCTACATGCACAGCAGCAGACTTGCAGTGGCAGCTTCTTGACATGACTTGTGAAATGACCAAAAGACCAGAAACATTAAATGTATTTTTGTTTGCTATATTAAAATAAAAACACGGTGTCATTTTCTTTTACAGTCATGGTAAAAGCAAGTGCACTCTCTCTTTCAATTTTAAGGTTTTATGTATCTGGACACAATGAAAACATAATCTAGTCCTTAGCAGTGTCACGGCGAATGGGATGAGCCGTGTGGAGAAAATAAAGGAGGATCCAAGCACAGGCACTTGTGGAGGTGCGAAGGAGGTTTGTTGTAAAAATAAAACACAAGGTGAAAAATGGCAGAACGGAACTAAAGATAACCTAAAGTGTAAGAAACTAAAGTATCAAACATGAACACAAACATGACAAAGGGTGAGCAGAGGCATATCAAGGTGGACAGCAGGGTGAACACACGGTGGATACACAGACAGACCAGCAACTGGTACACGAGTAAACACAACTTAAATACACGCAGAAGAACACAGGGAGATTACAAACAGGTGGGGAACACAGCTGGGAGTAATTGACAAGACGAGACAGGGGAAGCAAAACTGAATACACCGACATCAGGCATGAACCTTGAAAGTGGAACATGGAAACATACACTGACAAAACTCAGACCTGATACTGGCTGTTTTCTCAGGCTTATATTATATTATATTATTTTTGTGTGTGTATGTGATGTGTTGGTTGTTTGTTTGTTTGTTTGTTTGTTTGTTTGTTTGTATGGACATACTGCAAATCAATTTCGCTGTAGTGAAACAACTACAGCAAGTGTGAGCAACTCTCTAAAAGTGGGACTTTTAGCAGTTTGCTGGTCTGTAGTATTCAGGTGTGTGCTAACACAATGCCAAGGAGGAAATACATCAACAATGATCTTAAAGCAATTGTTGCTGCCCATAAATGTGAAATTAAGGCTATTTTCAAAGAATTAGAAATGAGTCATTCTGCAGTAAGGAAAAAAAGAAGGAAAGAAAAACGACTCAAATGAAGAAAACATTCAAGATTGTTGCAAATCTCCCAAGAAATAGACGTCCTGCCAAATTTGTACTAGACTGTGCAATGCTCAGAGTAACTGTGAAAAATCCACGAGTTAAATCTCAGACACTAAAGGCCTCAGTTAGCATGTTAAATGTTAAAGTTCATGACAGTACTATCAGAAAAGGACTGAACCAGTATGGCTACCAGGAGAAAACAAACCACAAAACCTCTGGATCAATTTCCTGTCAATAGAGACCAAAATGAAGAAGTTTGGCCGTAATGCTCAGCACCATGTTTGGAGACAATCCCCCACACCTTATCAGCACAAACACTTCATACCAACTGTCCAGCACTGTGGTGGATGAGCGATGATTTGGGGTTGTTTTGCCCTCACAGGACCTGAGCATCTTGCAGTCACTGAGTCAACCATGAACTCATCTGTATATCAAAGTGATCTAGAGTCAAATGTGAGACAGATAAAACTTCCCTGAAGCTTGGTCATTCAACAGGACAGTGATCCCAAGCCTTTTCTATATTGGTGACATATTTCTTTCCATTTAGTTTGAGTTACACTGATTTCAACACTGTACTTGTATCTTTTTGACATTTGAGAAAGTAATTTCACAATGGTTTAGCTCTTCAGCCTTGAATGTTAGATCAGCACAACAGCTTCACTTAAAATAAAAAGAATTCACAGTGTCCATGTTTAATCAAGTGGTTAATTATTCAAATGCTAAACCAAAAGTTTCTTAGATAAAACTCTAACAGGTTTTCTGCTTCAAAGCATTAGTTTTTCCTCACTGACCCACAATATGCAGGATGTGAAGCTTTAATCTTCACAAAAAGAGTGTAATTGATGCCGCCTGTATGAATATCTTTGCAGGAAATTAAGTCAGAAATTATTATTTATTTTTTCTGCCTTAAAGACAAAATTATATTAGGGTGCATAATAATAACATGTGAAATGTCACCTATTCACAGACAGCCTTTGACTTTTTAGTGCAAAGCAATTTTTGGCTCCTTTTCATTATTATTATTATTATTATTATTATTATTATTATTATTATTATTATTAACAGTAGTAATAGCAATATGCAGGGAGAAGATGAGTGTACACTGGAAGGTCAGTTGTTCCCGTGTAAATGGTTTTCTCTCTGTGTGTCCTTTGTAAGCTCTGCATGCATGTGTGAGTGCATGAATGAAGCCATTGCATGTCTGTCTCTGTCCATGACAGTCTGCCTGCATGACTGAGCATGCGTGCACATTGATTTGAGAGGGGAGAGGTGAAGGGATCGGAGACGTGGGGTCAGTAGAAGCGGACATGATGTACAAATCTGAGACAGAGCACACCGCATTCTGGAAAGCCCTTGTGAGTAAACAAGAGACAAGTTATCTTTTGTATTAGACAAATTTTTATGTCCCCCTAGATTTTGAAAAACCTTTAATGATGAAAAGTCTAAGCTTGCCTATCTTTTTTCAATTTTTTTGCTTTCTAACTTAATTCTACTTGTGGTGCTTTTCCTATTTGCAGGGCAGTCTCTGCCAGGACTGTGAACATCTGTTATCTGTTATCAGACTAGGCCGTGCCAGGACTTGGTCCGGCCCACCGGTCATGGACCATTTGGAACTTGTGCTTATCTGCATTGGGCACCGTGCCCTCCATCCAGTCCTACTGCAGCTAAAGCCCAGCAGCTCAGCGTCGAACAATGCACGGAGCAGCAATGTGCTGACTCCTGCCCCGACCCACAGGCCCAGCTGCTTTTCAGCACCAACATGTATAAATAGGTCCGTTTACTCTGAGGTCAGGACATCGTTTTTGTGGAGCCCCCTGTGAGCACTGAACAGCTATTCTTTGGGGCCGGTCAGGTAAGCCCTCTATCTCAGTCCATTCAGCCTATACAACCTTGTGCAGACTATTGTCACTTACATTTTTGCATTTTTTTTCCCTCTTTGTGGATTTCGCTGTGTCACATGAATGTAAAGACAGAGAGCAGACATGCATATGCAAAGGTGTACTGACGACACACAGGGAGGACATGTATGCACTGTGTCTACATCTGAACGTGGTTTCATCAAGTGTGGAGAATTTCCCATAGTTAACTGTTTCAAGCCCAAACATGTATGACAAAGGCAGTATTGTTATATATGTCAAAAACATTCTAATTAATGAACTTTGTAAATTTTGTTATAAAATTTGGTCAAATTCAAAAAAAGACACACCAACATGACACATAAAATGATGACAGTCTGTAAGATCCTCTTATATTTTGCATAAAAACTGCAGAAACGCTCGTTATTGTTTTAAGTGGTGTGAATGATAAGCTGTATGTTTAATAAATGCAACACTCCCTGCTCTTCATTCTGAAGGTATATCAAGTCGGAAACACAAAGTAGCATGGCTCTAAACAACCCTAACCCACTGGGACCATGGAAAGTGAGTCTGACGCCCTTGTCATGGATCAACAACAAAAGCAGATAATGCTTTTAAATATCAAGCCTGGCCTGATAAATGTGTGACGTGTGCATCTGTGCACACATCAGTGTGTGCGCGCAACATGTGCATGCTACATGTATGCATTTGTGTCCGCTCCAGATCACAGTTTATGACCAGGAGAACTTCCAGGGGAAGCGTCTGGAGTTTACCTCAGCCTGCCAGAACATCATGGAGTGTGGCGTTGACAACGTTCGATCCTTGAAGGTGGAGTGTGGCGCGTAAGTCACCCACAGAGAAAAGAAAATCTCGAAACCAGAGTGTGACCTAAAACACATTTATCATTTATTGGAAAGATACTGAAAGATCTGTTAGTATTTAAACTCAAAACATAACATCTGAAATTACTTATAGACCTCACTTATAACTATTTAAAGTTCACTATAAGCTTTTTTTTAAATATACAAAACATTTGCCTGATGTCTTCTAATTGGTCTGTGTTCCTGTGATCCAGCGATGCATTCATGTGTCTCTCTGTTTGTTCGTGGCAGCTGGGCAGGATATGAGCACTCCAGCTTCTGTGGCCAGCAGTTTGTTTTGGAGAGGGGAGAGTACCCTTACTGGGAGTCATGGAGCGGCAGCAACGCCTACCACATTGAGAGGATGACGTCTTTCCGCCCCATCTGCTCTGCTGTGAGTTTCTGTCCTAAATCAGCAGCTTCTGCTTTTTCTCCATCTATACAAAATGTAAAAAAAAAAATGTATTTGTCTCATGAAATGGTCTCATGTGTGTGTAAAGCTCAATAGAGTGACTAATAAAGGTGCTGAGTGCAGCCTAAAATAGAATGGAGTGCACTTGCAACTTGTAAATTATTAGATTTTGGGCCCAATTCACACAATTTTAATGATTATTATGCAACTCTTTTATGCCTGGAAGGTTGCTACCTCATTACTACACTTATCACCAACATCATGTGTTCTTTTGTCTGTTTTCTCTGGCTGACTCATGCTCGCACAGAATCACAAGGAGTCCAAGATGGTGCTATTTGAGAAGGAGAACTTCATGGGGCGCCAGTG